AAGATCTGGGCCACTGCAGCTCAGGGCACTTGTTAAAAGGACATCAGATCTTAAGGTGCTTGCGGGGAAAACCTAAACTTCACAGTAAAAAAAGTACTGTCCAGAACCTGTCTAACAATTATTCAAAAGAGATCAGCTTTGGGGAAAAAACAGAAAGCAGCTCACAATTATACCGGGTTTGTCAGCAACAGGACTGACGTGACACGAAAACTTCTAGAGAGCATTCGCCTACCTTTCTTACACGCGATGCAGTGATGCTCACCACAACAGACAAATGCACGCACGCATTGGCACAAACTTTATTAAGCAAACTCAAGGCTACAGATCCGTATGGAAGTATTCAAATGGCTCAGCAGTGAGAAACAACCCAAAGGAAAAATAAAAATCTGAAAACTTTTCCTAAGCATCAACTGGAACTCGGATCAGTAAATGAAGTCCCTGTGAAAATTCTTAAAAATATCTCCCCATGATCAAGGCATTCAGTAAGAACAAAGCACAGTCTTAAAGCTAGCATTCATTTTATTTCAGAGGAAGATGTTACAAGGACCCCAACGGCCCCGGGGTTATGAATAAGAAAATGGAAATTGAACTGAGACACAAAAGGCCATTTTGTTCAGCTAAGAAGCTCCAATTAACTACACAGAAATGCTTGCAAAACATTCTGGGTCCTGCCAGTCTCTTCTAGCAATACAGGACACTGATGTGGTCACAGAATAGGATTTCTAAAATCTGCAACAGGCAGAAGAGTTCATTCTATCAAACTAACCTGAGGAGATGAAATTCAAAAGCATATACAGTACCAACCCCTCAGTAAAGCCAAGAACTCAGGTCTTGAACACAGGGCCCAGAAGCAATCCGGTTCTGGCTGGGGGCTATGCATGGACACCACAGGCTTGGGTCCTGCTTTGTCCAAACAGAAAATTAATGAAGGTGTTTAGCTGGGAAGGAGTAACCAGCCGTCCCCGATTAATTCAAAATCAATAGAGTGATCAGTGTTGGGTTTCATTTCCAAGTACAGTGCAACCACAGCCCTGCTCCCAGGTGACATCCTCACAAGTGGCTGTTTTCTGAAAGGCCGGTCCAGGGGGGTAGATAATTGGTTACTAAAGGACTATTAAGCGGTTTCCTAGCAACCCTCAGCAAGCCTCCAATCAAGTATGACTGAAGCTGTCATTTAGCCTTGAAGGGCTGTGCCCCCTCCATTTAATGGAAGGTTCCAACTGCCATTACCACCATAAACAGGGTCATTTTCACTGCAGAAAAAAAGGCTCACTGACAATTCAGCTGAGAGTTGCTTCCAATCTCTCACAATAACAAAAAGGAGCTGCGTTTATTAGACCACTACAGCTGCTGCTTTACCCTCTATTCATAAGCACAGGCAGACAAATTCACAAGATAGTATGTCGCTTTTCCGTCAACAGAGCGCATTGGAAAAAAAAAAAATCTAACACCTTCGCTATGTACATTTACTCATTTTAAATCTGTTTTAGATGCACCTACAGTACAACCTACCAACATTTTTTATTCTACCACATTTGCTGTGGTTTTGCAGGTTTATCCCATAAACCGCAAGAAAAAGTTATTTACCTAAATGCAACAAGCATGCAATTTAAGAACTCCATTGGGTAAGACCCAGAACATCAATTTCTCCAAGATAACCGACCTGACTGCTTCTTTTCTCACTTCTCCCTAAATGTAAAACCCTCTCAAGTATGAAAGCAATGCTTTGAGGCACTCAGCACAAGACATTATGTGGAAAGTAATGCTGGCTCTCTGCTTCAAGTGAACTTAACAGTACTAATTTAATCGCTTTCGTCTACTTTCAGGTACACAGCAAAACAGGAGTCACCCACCTAATGGGCACAGTATGTAATGGCAGAAAGTGGCATCAAAAAATGACTCCACGGTTATTCACATGTATATATAAAAGATATCTATAATTCAAAGAGCCAGATGTGTGAACCTTTATTTTGCACGCTCTCCGTGAATGTCCTCAAGTGATCCCAGAAGTCACCCCTCATCATTGAGCACACAATGCTTTAGGCCTAAGCAAACTTGCGACGCATTCCCAATATTGGAGCTAGTACCTGGTGGAATTCAAGACCTGGGGAAGTTACATCCATCATGGTGGAAAAACTGATTTACATACACACTGTGCTCTATGGTATTGGAAACCATGTCAGGACCTAGTCTGCTATGCTGTTATTTGCCTGTTCAGATCGCCCGTGTCACAGATATGCCTTTTCTAACTCCACAAGTGCCAAAACACACTCCAACATGGGGGAACAATTCAAGAACCACAACAGCCTTCCACCAGGGGGCACTTAATCCTGTCATCTGCTTATGATTTAAAAAGAAAGACGTTTCAAACGATTAAAAAAAACAAATAAACAAATGCACCCCAATTGTGCACTTAGTAATAGATGTCATACATTTTCACAATTATTTTATCACCGTGCTGAAGTGGCAGGTTATGGATTCTGTGGCCGAGCATGATGGGCCAGATGAGTGTACATTAAGGGAGAGTGTTTCTCCTGCTGTCATATTTCTAACCAGACACTGTGCAACGGGTGTTGTACACACATGGGAGAAGTTTAACCGGTCATCTTGCAGAACACACCACGTCAAGAGGAAAATGAATAATCCCGCCCAACAGGTGGCAGACCGCTAATCTCTATAGGGAGCTACATATCCCTTTACAATACACTGCGGATTCCATTACACTGCGTACACTTCACTCGCATTCCCTGGCTAAAACAAAAACTTGTGCCAAGAGCACAAACTACAGATAAGCCCCCCCACCGAATTTGTTAATGATGATGGACTAACTCTCGATGTAACACTGCAGGTCTAGTTCTCTTTCTAACTTTGGATTGTTGTTGCTAAAAGACGGGTGTGCTTTCTGATGGCTACCGATCCAAGACACAGACGGGCAGAACGAAACGCACTCAAACCAGAAAACCGGCGTTGCGTATAATACGTGCTGTGGCGCGCAAACATGGGAACGGGAAAAAAAA